CAGTTCAACCGTGAGATGGGTGGGGGATCTGACCCATCAGCCTACATGCCCAGGACCCACCACTGGTGAGAGGGCATGTTCAGGCAGATTAGGAGTTCCAGGGATCGGTCGAGAGTGGCTCTGAATGGGAGAAGCCTTGGTATAGAGGAAGTGACAGGTGGATTTGGGGGCAGGGTTGGGAGTGTCTGAGGGTGGGAGAGGGAGGGTATGGGGTCTCATACCACAGCAGGTACCAGGCTCTTCTTCAGGGTGTATTAAAACAGACTACAGGTTCAGAAGTCTGAGAATGGCCTGCTTATTCCAGAAGCTTCCCAGGTCAGCATTGCAGCTGGTTCTGACAACACCATGAGAATCGATGCTATGAACCAAGGCTACGTCCCTCATTCTTCTCATTTTGAAACCTGCTCCACAAGCCCATAAATGTTTTTTACAACCCCCTCTCTTAACTAACTGCTAGAACAGAAATAATGGACTTGAACTCCTGGCCTCAGGAGATCCTCCTGCCTTGGTCTTCCAATGTGTTGGGAGACCCTGGTCTGAAAGGATGGATTTTCTAGGAGCTAAGACTCTGAAGGGCCTGGGGCAGACGTCTTAACACCAAGATTCACCATCCCCCACCACCTGCCCCCAATGCACGTGGCCACTTGTGAGAATCCTTACACCTGCCCCAAACCATGAGGCCTTAGTCAGAGATGGATTTGAGATTCTCAGGGTAGACGTCTGTCATACTAAAAATTCCTTTCTACCTTGGCGATCTTCATTGTCTCAATAATTAGACATTTTTTATGTTACAGTATTAAGCGAGTACAAACGTTTGTGTGGTGAGCGACTTGACACAGACTGAACTCCTTTGTGGGTTCAACAGTTTCATGCAAACATCGCAGGTGTGAAAGGTGATGGGCAAGACTAGTAAAGTCTGCTGGGTGCGGCTTGGAACTTGATGTGCCCCTGCTGTTCCTAAACACTCTAGGCCTGGTGGTCCTCCTGAAGTCACAGGGACCTTGGGGAAGGGGGTGGAGTTTCTGAGTGATCCTGGGAGCCCCCGAGGGAGTGGCCCTTTGTCTTCTCCTGTGTGCGGCCCTGTCTCAGTCTCAGCCTGGCCAGGGTCTTGGAGGTGTGGGTAGCCCCAGGCCTGTTCTCGAGCCTTCCCAGCCACAGGAACACCTAGGTGGGAGTGAGAGGCTGCACCTTGGAGATCTTGGGCTGTGAGGGTGACGCTGGGTGCTAGAAGAAGAGGGGGACAAGGTGACAGGATGTGGTGGGCCTTCTGCCCAGAGGGACCAGGTTGAGCCAGGGGCTGCAAGGCCAAAAAGGGGGCTGGTTAGATGGAAAGGCAATCTCATGAAAGCTGTGGGCCATGCATGCAGACCCAGGGGCCTGTGCTGACCACCCTGTGGACTTCCTCCCTCCTCCAGTCTAGATGGAACAGGTCATTTCCCATGCAGTTGGAAACTGACAGGGGCAAGGAGCTGCAGGGTCAGGGAGCCCAGAGGTGGATTGGGGGAGGCACTGGGCCCCACCTATGCCCTCCTGAGCTGACCTGGGAGCCGTGCAGTGTGCCTGCCCTCACCCTGGGGCCCTGGGACGCACTCAAGCAGGGGGCAGGGGCACTCACTAGTCAGTGACTGCCAAGTCGCTGGCCAAGAGGTTCAGCTGCCTTGGAGTGGGAGGGGCCTGGCATGGTTCTGTCCTTGAGCGAGGTGGCGCCCCATGTCCCACCAGGTTCCTATGTGTCCCGGGAGGTTCTGGGTCCTGTTTTCCCTTTAGGGCCCAGGCTGCTTCTTTCTTTAACATCGCTGAGCCTCAGTTTCCCTATCTAAAAAGTGAAGATGAGTTTGTTAAGAACTAAATGATCCGTGTACAGAGCCAAGCCAATCTATTAGTGACACTTATTATTACCAACCATGCCTGGTGGCCACACCAGAAATATCAAAGGGATGAACTTTACAGATGAGAAAGTGGAGGGGGGCAGAGTTTGCTGCTGACTGTGGGGTCCCCACCCCCCATTGCTTCTTCCATCATGCTCCCCCTCACCTCAGCCTTGCTGATGACCTTCAGCAAGCAGCTTCTAGGGAAAACATCCCCTCCCAGCTGCTGTCCCCACCCTGAGTTTAGCTTACTCAGTGTCTGTGGGCCGGCAGCAGCAATTAGTCTAATCAGGGGCCTGCTGCGCGTCTGTGCTCAGCTCTGCTCTGGTGGCTCTGCTAATTTGCCTGATCTCTAGCTCTCTAGGAGAAGGCCTCTGCCCGGACAGGCTCCCAACCAAAAAGCACATGGTGCTCAGGCTCAGTGGTTTGGTACTTGCTGGTGATCTCACTGCTCCCCCAACCCCTGAGCCATAGGGAGCCCAGGCTTCAGAGGCAGGACCACTTTGCCAAGGAAAAGGCCCAAGCTTAGGGGACTGGGACAGAGCAGGTCAAACACCAGTTGCATCCACACATCACGAAGGGGGTAGCGTGGGGGAGAAGCAGCAGAACCGAAGCCGCTGCTGGCATTTGTGTGCTCAGAGCATGGTGGGCAGTGGCGGAGCCGCTCTGGCCCCAGAGCCAGCCCACAGCCTGCACCCAGGCTCCTGTGGGCGCCTGCTCCAGAGACACGTCAGTGGTGCTGCCCCTGCCGCCGGGGTATCCCTTGCAGCATGGTCCCTCTGGCTCTTGGGCCCCAACAGAGAAGCAGTGATCCCCCATCCCAGGGCTAGAGTTTTGAGCTCTGGGGCTACCCCTCAAGCCACCTTTCCCCTCCAGGCCTTAGCCTCTAGTCCTCAGCAGCTGAGTTTGGAGCGGAACCACCAGCCCTGGAGAGACCAAGCAGGAAGCCAGGGCTGTGGGAGCAGAGAAGCAGGAGGAGTCTGCCGTGGGCAGGAGGAACCCCAGCCAGGCCTGGAAGCTACTAACACTCGCCCCCCACAGCTCCCTTTGATCTGCTTGGCTGGCTGGGGCACAGCAGCTGGCAGGTTTCCCGGGAGACTGTGCCCACAGAAGTTCAGCGTCACTTTGGCCAGAGTGTCCCAGCAGAGTGAGAGCCCCCTGATTCTCCGCCCACCAGCTTCCCTAGAGGTTGGCAGGATGTGGGGAAGTAGAGCAAGTTTCCCCCCACCCCTAAGGCCTGGGGTGCCAAACCCCTTGGGGAGGAGCTGGACTCTTCCTCTGAAAGCCAGAGGCCCCTGAACCCCACATGTGTGGGGGAGACCCCCTGGCAGGGTATTCCCATCCCTGAGTTTTCTGCAGTCATCTGTGCCAAGCCACCACATAATTCCCTTGGTTTCCCAGAGCCATTCTGCCATGCAGATGCTAAGGCCACAACCCCTGAAGATTCCTAGGCACTCACTGGTCCAGGTCCAGGCCCAGGCCTGCCCACGCTATTCCCAGACCAGTTCCCTCCATGGCTGGGTGCATGACCGGGACTGTCTCACCTTGGGTGAGTGAGCCAGGGTGGGGTCACTTAGGAGTGGAGGGGCACCAGCCTCTGGGAGGGAGGGTCCTGTGGCTCAGGGGCTTTCTAGGCAGGTGCACACCTCCTACCTGGGGTGCTGGGGTGAGCAGGTTGGACAGCCTGACTCTGGGCTCTGGGCTTCTGCCACATTGGGCCTCATATCTCAGTGCCACATCCTCTCCAAGGCCTCTTTGATGGATGGCTCCTCAAAGCTTCAGCTGTCTTTCTTTGAACTTGGCTTCTGCCCTTCACCCAGGGGCTTCTCACCGTGGAGGCAGACCTAGACCCCAAAACTGCCATCAGCACTGACTGAGGCCTCCCCGGGGGGTTCCCAACAGGCTGCCAGAAGCTGAGTCCTGTTGTCTCCTTCCATCCTCACTCCTCCTGGCCCCTACCGCCCACCCCACCCCTACCTCCCTCAGTTGGGAGGGAGCTTCCTGCATCCATTTACTCCCAGGGATCCATGGAGTGAGGGCAGCAGCCGCTGACAACAAAGCCCTGCCCTCATTTTCCTGCTTGCATTTTAATTGGGGAGGGGCAAGAAACATCAGGCAAAGTGCATGTGTCATGTGGCAATCAGGAAACTGGCAGACAGAGGGAGACCCTATATGGAGAGGGTGGTCTGCAGGGGGCTCAGAGAGGCCTCCTTGAGCAGGAGACACATTTAAATAAAGGCCTGAAAAAGACCTGTTGGCCAGCCTTGTGAGGGGTCTTCCAGGCAGAGAGAGATGCCAGGTCCTGAGATGGCAGTGCCTGGTGCCAAGTGTAGGCAGGGGCCAGAACAGAGGGAGGGGAGGGGAAAGGAGTCTGGAGGTTAGAGTGGGACAGGCACCCTGCAGGGAGATGGGGGACCCCCTAGGCAGGCTTCTGACAGGGGTGGGCAGGCCCCAAGCTGGGTGTTAACCGGTCACTCTGCCACACAGGAAGTAGAAGTAGCGACCAGGAGAGGGAGGACCCAGGAGAGCAGTGACCTTGTCCCAGCCCGGGGGGGGGGGGGGGGTGGGAGTAGGGTGGGGAGAGGTACTGACAGTGGTTGGGTGCGGACTGCCTGTGAAGGCACAGCCGGTTGGATGTGATGGATGTGGTGTTTGAGAGAGAGAGGGAATTCGAGCTGCCTCTGAAATTTGGGCTCAAGCTCTCAGAGGGTAGAGGTGCCTCCAGGGGAGGCACTGAGGGAGGCACTGTAACACGTCCCCCAGGGCAGGCAGAATCAGATCATCAGATCGTCTGGCCTGCAGAGTTACACTCTTTGCACAAAGTCACTGCCCATTCACATAGGGCCCTCTGATGTCACATCCAGGGCGGGACATGGTGGGGGGTGAGAAGATAACGGGCTGCCTGCTCTGAGGGGAGCAGGGGTGGCATGTATGCCTGGGGCCAGCAACTCCCCTCTAGATGCAGGGCTGTGATTGGGGGGAGACCCAGCAGAGCAGAGGCCAGCAGGCACCAGCACCACTTTGCACAGGGGGCTGTGTTGGGCTCTTCCCGCAGGATTTAATTCTCCCAGTAACTCTGACAGGGAAATACCATACTCATTATACTCAATATTATACCCATTTTACCAACAGGGAAACGGGAAACTGAGGCTCAGAGATGGAGGACTAGTCTGAGGCCATGCCAGTGCAGGGTGCTGAACTCAGAGGTCTGGATCTGGGATCCCTTAGCCTTTTTCTGCCTTCACCTCAGCACAGTGGCTGAGTTTCAAAGGGCAGTGTCCCAAGAGAGCCAAGCAGACACCATATCGCTGTTTTTGACTCAGCCTCAGAAGTCACATGGCATCACTTACCCCAGAGCACCAGTCCTTCCCGGAGTCAAAAGGAGGGAACCTCCCTGCTACCTGCATTTCCATCATCCTCTCCTCGCAAGAAGAGCAAGTTTAGTGGGAGACGCTGTTGCTGCAGACCTTGGAAAATTCAGTTCCCCCAAAGAAGTGGCATGCAGGTGAGTGGCACCAGTGTCTATCTTTTGCAAGAAGACAGACCCAACGGAGAGAAAGAGCACCCAAACACCATGTTTATGAGACGAAGGGCTTTGTTTCAGCCGGTGAAGCAAGGCACAGAATTCAAAACAGCCATGCTCCCCGACTGGCTAGGTCTTCTCCTTTTTATCCCCAGTGAAAAAGTGGCCCGGGTACCTTTCTCATTGTCAGTCTGAATCAAGCTGGAGAAGCAGGCTCTGGCTTTTATGCGTACCACAGGCTTTCAAAGAAATGGGAGCAAGTGTGAGCCTCCAGGTCCCAGGAAGTTAAGTTTTTACAAATTCCTAAGAGCTGAGTCACCAGAGGGAGGACCTTGCAGGTATATCCTTGGGGTTCCCTTGGGAAGACCACCTTACTTTTTCTGGTATCCTCTCTCACATCCTAGCATGGAACAGATAGTCTGTCAAGGACGTGACCTCTGACCTCTCCTTCCTACGTTTCCTTGAGGTGGCCCTTGAGATGATCCTGAGCAAAGCCATCAGGCGGTGCAGAGAAGGGCCACAAGCCCAGAGACAGGTTCAACTCCTGACTCTGATGCTCCCAAGTTGTTGATCCTGAGTGGGCCTGTGGCCTCCCTGGGGGGACCCCACAGCGGGGAGATGCCTCCCTGCCAGCTTCCATAAGGACAAGGTTTAGATGAAGTCAGGAGGTTGGGAGGAGCTCTCCGGCTGATGACCCCCCTGACAGGGCCACCTCTGGGGGTGGGGTGGATAGAAGCAGTGTGCTTGGGACACCTCAGATGCCCTGGAGATGAGGCTGGGCTGAGACTCCAGGCTGAGGTTCCCGGCTGAGGTTCCCCAGGTGGTTCCAGGTGACCAAGACCTGGACAAGCAATCTGGGGGATGAGTGATGCCTTAATTTGGAGAAGACACTCGGATCTGCTGAGCCCGAGGGAATATCCCCATCTGGAGTAGGACATAGTACTCGTGTCCCCCCAGACTGTCAGGAGCCCTGGACCACCTGGTTCCCACACTATCCCACCTGCCAGGGTGGAGAAGGCACCATCTCCAGCAGTAGCTGCACAGAGGCCAGCGTGGGGCTTGGGGAGGCAGCCCCTGTGTTCTCTGCTCACCACACACATTACTGCAGCCCATTTGTCTAGAATTCTCTCTGTGGGGCAGGCCCTCCCTACGCTGGCCTGAGGCGGCTGTTCTGGCTCAGTCAGCAGCAGTAAATGGGCCTTATCAAAACATGAGATGGTAGAATGTGGGAGAAAAATACTTTTAAAAATGTTTGCATTAGAGGGACCAGTGAGAGTACTGTGGATTGTTTTCTTCTTTCAGCAGCAGCCTTGCTGTCGTCACTCACTGCAGCAGAACTGATGTGCTGGGCAGGATCCCTGGGGACCCAGCAGGAAAAAACGGATGAGGAAGGGTGTTCTAGCCAAGGCCTGAGAAACAAGTTGTTTTCCATTTCCTTTCTCTCTGCAACTCTGTTGCCAGTTCAAACTGACTGTCTCTCTTGATCCTCAGAATGTTTGAGTACAGATATGTCTCTGATTTGTTTAGTGTCTTTTCTACTCTGAACCAATTTGGGGCAAGATCTTTTGCTCCAGTCTGGGTTACCCTGGACAACAAACGTATTCTAAGCTAAAGGCGACAATGAAACTGGGTGTCCAGCAAATAATTAATGAACCATGACTCCAGAATTCTCCTCTCCAGACTGAGGACTGAGGGAAATAAAACCATAAAGGAGAAATGGCCACTGAAGAGGCTCCTTCAGCACAACACCCACCCTCCACCCCAACCCGCTGACACTTTCCCTTCTTTAATAATAGAACTGTTAATTTAAGCTGGGCACGTGGCTGTGTGCACCAATTCTGGCCAATGGGGAGTGAATGACCGTGTCATGAAACAAACTATCCCAGGAAGCAACTTTAAAATGAATGGGCCAGGCCTTCCTCTTTCTTTCTTCTCCTGCTGGCTGGGATGTGAACATGATGGCGGGAGCTACAGCAGTCACATTGGACCATGAAGTGATCTTGGAAATGGAAACTTCCATAACAGACCTGGACTCCCTCCCTCCTGTACTGAGTAAACCACTGTATTGGGTAAGCCACTATTGTGTTAAGGTTTCTTTGACCTACAGCCAGAGATAATCCTAAATGATTCACCACCCTCAGAGTTTACAGTCAACTAAGTTTCTCATGAAAAAAGTTAGTGCTTCTAAGTGATCTTATTGGACTGGAGCACCATAGCTGAGCAAAGGCAATTCCTTGACTTTGCTCAAGGCAGAGTCCCCTCCTACACACAGACACATTCTCACACATGTGTTGATAACTGAGTATCCCAGAGGCTGCCCTCAGCTTAGGCACTCTCCCCTTTCCAAATTCCCTGGAAATGGCCAAATAGCATAATCTCAAGCAGAGCTGGCAAAGAGAGTATCCATATGCCTGTGGCTTTTGCAGGGAGAATAGGAACTGAAGACCCCAATTTTGGCAAGGAAAACACTCCCAGAAAGGGGGAAAAACAGGGAAATAAGCTGAGCTGCCATTTCCACAGGTCTTAAAGGACCCCCCAGGGCAGGACCCCAGCAGCTTTCATGGACTTCCAGAAGATGAGAACAGGCATGACCATGTTGATTGTAAACCAAGGCAGAGGCAAATACATCCCAGTCAGTGTGCAGGAGAGACTGAATGCTGCAGGAGAAGGGGGCTTGGACGGACTGCTCCCCTCTCTGCTCACCCTGGAGAGGGATTGTCCATGGAACGGCAGAGTGCGCTCCTTCTCTCCTTGCCTCTAACCATGCTAGACAAAGAGGCTAGCAGTGCTGTTTACACTAGGATAGGATTAGTAATAAGCTTGTGCTAGAGAACAAGTGTCTGTGTCCCTTCAAAACTCATATGTTAAAATCTAACCCACAATATGATGGTATAACGAGGTGGGGCATTTGGAAGGTAAGAACAGAATGCTCATAGTGAGATTAGTGCCCTTATAAAGGGGAGCCTGGAGAGCTCTCTCACCACTTCCTCTTTTTAAGGACATAGCAAGAAGACAATCCACTCTGGACCAGGAAGCCATCACCAGATGCCGCATCTGCTGGCACTTTGATCTTGGACTTTGCAGCCTCCCAAACTGTAAGGAATAAATTTCTGTTGTAAATAAGTTACCCAGTCTATGGTACTCTGTTATAACAGCCCAAATGCACTAAGACATCTTATTAAGAAAATGAATCAACCTGGGAGAAGTGTTAATTTCCCTCATTAGTAAGGTCCTTTTGTGGAGACGAGGAAGCAGGCACCCTCCAGCGAAGGCTGCCAGGTAAGATGACTCACGGCTCTGTGCAGAGCTCAAGCCAGCCTTCCCAGGCAGGGGTGAGGCCTGCTGAGTAGACAGACCCAGAACCACAAAGGGGCCCCCCCGCCAGCCAGCCAGCTACCTGTATGCATCAGCCTTGTCATTCCTCTGTGTATGTAAACAGGCAACCAAGGTGAATAATCACCACAGAACAGAAGAACCAAGATGAGCAAACCTAGCCACTGTTCCTGGAAGAAGTAGATAATCAACGGCAATGAATGGAAGCTGGAAGTCATAATTACCCTCTGTGGGATGTCTGAGGAGACACTGCATCCATGAAGCAAGAACAGGAACCTAGGAAAAGGAAAAATCACAGAATAAGAAAGGTTAAAAATATGGTTGTCAAAATTAAAAAAAGAAACATCAACAGTAGGATTGGAAAGTGTAATCCAAGTAAATTCCTAGACTGCAGGGCAGTAAGACAAAAAGGTGGGGAGTCTGAGAGGACAGTTAAGAGATGAGCAGTGTCCATGTGGGGTGTCCAAAATGTGTCTCCTCAGAGTTCAGAAAGAAGGAACAGAAAAAAAAGAAAGATTGGAGGGAAGGGCACTGTACTGTTGCTGTAAGCCACGACCACAAGCTTTGTGGTTTAAACCAGCACAAAGTTATTTTCTTGGAACTATCAAGGCCAGAAGTCCCCAAATCACCGTGTCACCAGGACTACATTCCTTCTGGAGGCTCTAGGAGGGAAACTGTCTCCTACCGTGTCCCAGCCCTTGAAGGCTGCCTAACTCCTCGGCTCGTTTTCCAAGCCACTGCGGTGGAGCCTTCCCATCTCTCTCTTTCTGACTGTGACTCCTGCCTTCATCATGGCCTCGCTGTCTTCTGTCATGACACCTCTGACTTTGACCCTCTTGGCCCCTTCTTTTTCTTTAATTTAATTTTTTAAATTTGAGAATATTAGGGGGTATACAGGTTCTGTTTACATACTGTTTTTGTACAGATTGAGTCAAAGCTATGAGTGTGCCCTTCACCTAGATAGCGTGCACTGTACCCAACAGGTGTGAAGGTACCTGTCCCCTCTCCCCCCTCCCATCTTGATTTTCGTTGAGATCAGTGTTGATCAATTAGTTTCAATTTGATATTGAGCACATGTGCTTGTTTCTCATTCTTGTGATGTTTCAATTAGGAGACTGATTTCTGTTTCTCCCAGGTCTCCATAAAAGATACTAGATGGCCATTTGTTTTTACAGCTGCGTAGTACTCCAGGATATGCATAGACCAATTTTTTAAATCCATTCATGTCTTGGAGGGTAGTGGGTTATTTTCATGTCTTTGCGAAATGTGCCGCTATAAACATTTGAGAACAGGTGTGCTTTTTATAAAATGACCTCTTGCCATTGGGTATGTACCCCGCAGTGGGGCTGCTGGATCAAATGGTAGGTCTACTTTAAGTTCTTTGCGGTCTCTCCCTGCACCTGTCCCTAGAGGTGGTCCCAGTTCACAGTCCCAGCAGCCCCTCTTTCTCCATATCCACGTCTGGCCTTCTTGTGATTAGGTTGGGGTCACAAAAATAATTCAGGAAAATCTCCTCATTTCCAGATTTTTAATGTAATCACATGTGCAAAGTCTCCCCTTCCATGTGAGAATACATATTCTTAGGCTCCGGGATTAGGCTGTGACGGTTTTCTCTGGTGGGCCATTATTTTGTACACTACAGTAGGAAAGAAGGAAATGGTGAGAGAATAATTCCCCAGAGCTGAAAAGGGGGGGATTTTTAAAAATTTAAACTGTTTCAAGTTATTTAATAGAATGAGAAAAGATCAACACCTTTTTAGGTACACAGAAGGCTTTTGAAAGTTAACTTCCATGAGCTTATTCTGTGGAATTATAATGTGAAAAGTACTCTGGCCATAGGAATGTGGAAATTAAGAAAAAGAAAAATAAAATCTCTCAAACTATAGAACTAAATCAGTTTTACAATGAAATCAAATTCTACACAAGGAATACAAAGATGAATCAGTAATAAGAAATCTGTTAAAATTGGCCACATCGATAAGTTAAAGGACACTTGCGTGAGTATCTCCACAGACGCTAAGAAAGCCTTTGAAAACATTTACTATCCTTTAGAACTTTGAGTTTTGAAAAAACAGATGGCTTCTCCTCACCATGATAAAAAGATGCATGTAACCATACCTCAAACAGTTATTTTCTTAATGGGGAAACAATGGAAACATTTTTAGCAAGGTCAGAAACAAGGCAAGAAGTTAAAAAATTCTACTAATACTTAACATAGCAGCAATTCAAGTAGATTAAGAAAAAACAGTTCTCAGACCTGAGAACGAAGTGGAAAACCGTCTTTGCAGATGACAAGGCTGTGTGCCTGAAAAGCCCTAGAGGACAGTTAGGAAAACAACCTCCATACAACCTCCAAGAATAAAAGAATTCTACCATTAAAGACAGGAAGTTGCAAAATTAACAGACTGCAATCAGTAGATGTAATATGTTGCATATCATTATATAACAGGTACATATGGAGTTACATGTTAAATATGTCCTACCAGATACAGGGCAGACCAAGGACACTCTTGAGACAGTGTCCCAGTGTTGTAAGTTACTTCTTCCCTGGCCTTTCCTGTTCCCACTCCCACCTCCCGTGGGGGAAAAAGCCTTAAACCAGAGGTCCTCAAACTTTTTAAACAGGGGGCCAGTTCACTGTCCTCAGACCCTTGGAGGGTCAGACTATAGGCCCCGGGATGAGCTGGATGCTAAGCAGGATAGACAGTGGTGGGCCTGATAAATGTCCTAGGCGGGCCTCATGTGGCCCATGGGCTGTAGTTTGAGGACACCTGCCTTAAACTGGGGATGGAGGAGGGAAACACATGGGGCCCTCCTGGGAGAAGTGGAAGTACAAGTTCTAGCAAAACAGTCCCCATCCTAAACGCAAAGTAATAGCAGAATCCGAAGTCCATTATGAGGACAACCATTGCGCACTAAATCTCCAACCTGGGCCAAGTTCTGACTGGATTCACAGAACCCCTCCATGAAAGACCTAACAGAAGGAAGAGCGTGCTCATGTCCAACCACGAGTTATTCACCTCAACCTCTACTGGCTACGGTCCGTCTTTATAACAAAAATCATGAGCTGACACAAGAAAGCAAGAGATGTTGGAACTGTCTGACCGGGAACTTAAAACAATAATAACTATAATGACTAATATGTTAAAGGCTTAGTAAGATCAGATGGATACTTTGTACAATTTTAGAACACTCACCCAGTTACAAAAAAACAAAAACAAAAACAAAAAACCAACATATTCTTCCCAAGTACATGTAGAAGGTTCTTTAGGCTAGAATGTACGCTAAGCTATAAAACATACCTCAATATGTTTAAAAGGACTGAAGTCATAAAAAATATGTTTTCTGACCACAAGGGAATAAAATTAGAAATTTATAGCAAGAAAATAATTTAGCAAACTCATAAATACATGGAAATTCTACAAAATACTTCTGAATAACTAGTGGGTCAAAGAAACGAATGAAAAGGGAAATCGCAAAAACATCAACATGCATTAAAATGAAAATACAATATCCCCAAACTAATGGAACATGAACATAGCCGTACTTGGAGGGAAATTTATAACCATAAATGCCTATGTTAAGAAAGAAGACAGTTCTCAAATCAATAATCTGACTTTCCAACTTAAAACACTAAACTTAAGCAGAAGGAAGAAAATAATAAACAACATTAGAACAGAAATTAATAAAATAGAGAATAAAACCCAATAAATGTAATAGAAAAATGATAGAGAAAATTGGTGAAACCAAGAGCCGGTTCTTTGAAAAGACCTGCAAGATTGACAGATGTCCAGCTGCCTGACCAGGAGAAAAAAAGAGGGCTCAAATTATTAGAATCAGAAATGAAAGAAGGGGCATTACTACTGATCTTACAGAAGTAAAAGGGATTTTGTTTTTATGTGTTTGAGTGTCCTACTCTTAGGTATACATACAAGTTCTGACAATTAAGTTCATGAACTCATCCTAGAAAAAGTGCTACATACCTCATTGCTTAATATCACTGTGGACACCTTTGAAGTACTGTCCTTGGGAAGCTTTGCACGGAGGCCAGTACCTGCTCTACCCTTCAAAGCAATTTTGGAACTCTTTCTCTGGAGTGGCCATTAAAGCTATTACCCTTGATATCCTGAATATCATCAAAGTGCCTTCTTTTCAATGTTTCCTTTTTCTTCAGATAAAGAAAAACTCATTGGGGCCCAGATCAGGTGAGCAGGGAGGATGTTCCAATACAGTTATTTATTTATTGGCTACGAACTTCCTCACAGACAGCGCTGTGTGAGCTGGTACATTCTTGTGATGCAAGTGCCGTGAGTTGCTGAAAGGTTCAGGTTTATTGCAACTTTTTATGAAACTTTTTAAGTACTTCTGAATTATAAACTTGGTTAACTGTCCACTTGGTACAAATTCATAATGAACAATCCCTCTAATATAAAAAAAATTAGTAACATCATTTTTACTCTTGATTTGGATTGACAGAACTTTTTCAGTCATGGAAGATTGGCTGACTGCCATTGTGCCCTTTGCCGCTTTGTTTCAGGGTTGTATCAGGACACCAGCGTTTCATCACTACTGATAACATGGCCCAAAACATTGTCTTGCTGCCCTAAATGGTTTCACAAAACTCTCCTTTGCTTTTATTCATTGGCAAGCTTCTTTGGGACCATCTTTGACACACTTTTCTCATGCCAAGATTTTCAGTTAAAAATTTCCTGTTTCTCTGTCAGTGTTTACTTGGTCTACTGTGCTTCTCATAG